TTTTCATCAATTATTGCTATTTTGCAATATCGGTAATAAATTTAAACATTTTTAACTTACAGTATATTGTGCAAAATTCAATTCTAAAACTTTTTTTCCTCTTCAATATTCTTCCAAAATGCATAGGTTCCAAGATATAAGTAAAAAACCCAGATAAAATAGGTATTTTTTAAAATTTTTTAAACATTTTTGCAATTTTGAAAATGTTCCGGACCTCGCCCAGATCTAGGGATCTACACTTTTATTATGTGAGTTGTACTGAAGGTAATCCAGAAAAAAATTGTTTGCCCCCTCTCACATCAACCTCAAAACAGATCCACCCTAGTCTAATTGTAAAAACTCATAGTTGCTAACATTTTCAATCTTACAATAAATTTTTATCATCGGCAAAGAGCAGCACTGCTACACTTATCAATATTTGTAAAAGTCATTAATAAATATAAAAAATAATAGGGGTCCAAAAGTAGATCCCTGAGGAACACCTTATTCAGCCGCAAATAGTTCAGATTTAAACCCATTATAGGCAACACAACAAAGTCAATCTTTGAAATAAGTTTTAAAGAACCGAAGTAGATTATCAGATAATCCAAATTCGATTAATCTAGATAATGCATTACTAGTGTATTATTTAATGATTTATACGTTTATACATCCATGTTTTCTATTTCCAATAGTTTCTAATCATTTTTTTTTTCTTTCAGTGGTGCTCCTTCGTGATCTTCGTCGCCTTGGCCGAAGCCAAGACGACCAAAATCACCCCCTCCAACCAAAAAAGAAGTCTAGGCCTGGAAGCATCACTCTACGGAGCTTCACTGGGAGTTCCTGTGGTTTCCGGCTCGACACTTGGCTCTGGTCTTTTCACACCCGCCATTTCCTACGACTCCAGCAGCGCCCTTTTGGGCGGAGCCGCTTTTGGCTCATCTGGTAGCTTAAGTTCCGGGGTGAGCACAGTATTCGACTCTGGTTCCGTCAGCGGAGTGTCCACCGGACTTGGCAGTGGAATCAGCACCGGATTAGTCAGCGGCGTCACCAGCGGTTTGGGCAGCGGCATCGGCAGTGGATTGGTGAGCGGAGCCAGCAGTGGGCTCGGTAGCGGAATCGGCAGTGGATTGGTGAGCGGAGTCAGCAGCGGGCTGGGTAGCGGAATCGGCAGTGGATTGGTGAGCGGAGTCAGCAGCGGGCTGGGTAGCGGTATCGGCAGTGGATTGGTGAGCGGAGTCAGCAGCGGGCTGGGTAGTGGAATAGGCAGCGAGATAATCAGCGGGGTCGGCAGCGGATTGGTGTCTGACGTCAGTGTATCTTCTGCTGGAGCGTCAGGTATGTTTTGTTCTTTTTTCATAGCCGCCATTTATCTTTTTAATATTCCATGAGGATAATATGTAGATTATGCACCAAAGTCTTTCTGTAATTTTTCAATTACAAACATTATTTGCATTAGAATCATGTCTTATAAATTTAAAATGCAATAAACATAGTTCCAAACATTACAGAAGCTTTAAGAGCTTAACGATACCTAGATATGTAACAATTCGGAGAGAAATTGGAGAAATTGCGAAAAAAACAGTTTTTTTCGAAGCAAAAATAAGAAAAATTGGAAAAAGTGGTAAAATTGCAGAAACTCGTAATAGAAACACCTAAAAAATGCTTATTAAAATATTTTTCATGATACAAGGTGTTTGTAAATAAGTGCGAAATATTTAAGGGGGTTGTTGCCGAAGTTATTTTGTAGTAGGTCGAAATATGCTTCGTTTCCGAGAGTGTTTAAATTTTAATTTTTTATTTATTTTTATTAATTATTTCAGAGTTTTAAAGATATTGACTTAAAATTTGAAAAACTCTTTGGAGGGATAGATGTTCCATTTTTGAGGTGATCCGAATATTTCTACTTGCACCAGTGGCGTACGTGCGAGAATTCCACAAATGTTTTTAATTAAAAAAAAGGTACGCCACTGACTTTTCCCCGTGTTGATATTGATATATTTTTAGAAATCCGTCATCAATTCTGAATCTTCAATTTTTTTCGTAGATACACCGTTTTTGAAGGAAAAAATAAAACTTATTTTATTACAAGTTGTGTATTTTTAATTTCTATTGATACATTATCTAGTAGGTTGCTGTCAATATTTCTAAATAAAATACAACCATCAAATTTCGAGTCAATATCTTTAAAACTCTGAAATAATTAATAAAAATAAATAAAAAATTAAAATTTAAACACTGTATCTCGGAAACGAAGCATATTTCGACTTGTGTTTATATGAACTTTTTTTCACAAAACAGCTTCGGCAACCACTCCCTAAAATATTTCGCACATATTCAAACACCCTGTATATTTGAAAGAGTATTTCTTTTAAACGGATCGTCCGGATCTGGAANTTTTTTCACAGAATAGCTTCGACAACCAACCCTTAAAATATTTCACACTTATTTACAAACATCCTGTATATGTATTTTATTGGAATAAACGTATGAAATTAAAATATTTTATAAAATATAATTAAAATGTCTCAAATTTTAAATTAGTAGATTTCGAACACAAATTATCAAAAGTTAAATATGTTTTATTTAAAATAACAAAAATAATAATTTTTCATAAGTAACCAACGAAAAGAAACAAAATTTAATCAAATTAAAAAACTAAGTGCGGAAAAAAGAATTATTCTTTAATTCAATTAAAGGATCCTTTTGTTTGGATAAAAAACTGGAATTTTTAGGAAATTCTCGAATAGAAAAATATCAAGCAATTTCTCTATTTCAAGTGTTTCTTTGCAATTTTAATTGGTCTTTATTTACGAGGTGCTGTTATTGGATGTTACGTTGCTAATTGCAAATTATACTACGATACTTCGATTTTAAAGCGTCTCTTTTAACAGCCTACATTTTATGTTTGTTAGTTGACCGCATTAAAGTTAGTTTAAACATAGTTCATACAGTCGAGAATTGCAAGAATCGAATAATATTCAGATTTTTTTAGAGTTAAACACTTCATTATTATAAATATAGTTAATGTTTTCTCCTAAATTTGTTTGAAATTTGAGCACTCGAGAAACCTAGAAATAAATATGAGCAATATGATTAAAACTCTAATAATATTTTATTGTAACGTGTGATGGTAATAGTTTAAATAACTAGGTGGATTTCATGGGGTCTAACGACACTTATAGTGTACGATAGATAATTCAATAAACATATAAATCTAAAAAAATTAGATAAATTTGGACTGAATACATCGAAGATGAATTTTTTGAGACAAAACGTCTGAATCTGGTTCGGGCTGAGGCAGTACAGTATTGAGGGTTATAAGGGTTTGCAAAAAATGTAATAAAATTTCCAGGGTCGTATTTAAAAAAATGAAGTTAATGATGATCCTGAAAAGACGAAACGTTACATATAAAGATTGATTATGCCATTCGATAGAGGCCAAAAAGTTGCCATGAAAAAGTGTTCGTCCTTTTTCAATATCGCTTCATAAAAGGTTAAAATCATGTTAGCCTTGATTTTTTAGAGGCATAATGTTGGTCCCCTGACTATGCAACTTTGCCCCAATTTAAACTACTTCGTATCTCTTACCGTTTCCGAGATCACTGCAGTGAGAAGCTAATTTTTTTAACAGCTTATACAATTTATTGGCTTTCAAACAAGAGTCTCAAACTCTCCACAATATTTGAGACTTTTTTTTAAACTCATGCTTATGGATTTTAAACTCTGCATTTCAGGTTTGAGCAGCTTCGCCCCAGCTTTCAGTACCGTCGGCCCTGCCGTCGGTACCGTGTCTGTCGGCTCCGTCGCGCCTGTCGTGGTGTCCCAAACTCACGAGTACCGCCATCTGAGCCAACAAGTACCGGTAGCAGTGCCCACACCAGTACCAGTAACTGTAACGAAAACCGTCCCTGTACCACAACCCTACAAGGTAGATGTTCCCAAGCCTTACGCAGTACCAGTACAAGTGAAAGTACCAGTGGACGTACCCAAACCGTACGCCGTCAAAGTGCCATATAAGGTCTCAGTACCTGTTGCTGTCAGGTAAAGTGGATAAGTTGTGTAACAGATTTTAATTAATCCCTACTTATTTCTGCATTTATACAGCGTGTCCCACTAGTGCGGGAAAGTCCAAGATCTATGTTAAAATGAGGAATATACGAATTTTTCTTTTTACTGTGTTGCCACATTTCTCGGAATGTACAAATTAAAAATATATTCAACTATACAGGGTGTTCCACTTTTCCTGGACAGACACCAACTTTGGTTTTTTAAATGGAAACACCAATTTTTTATATTTTTTTCGGATTCTACATCAAAAATAAAGGGTACTTTGTGTAGAATAGTTCTATTCAAATATTCACAATTTTTGAGATATCTCGCTTGAAAGGTTTTTCTAGTTGATACTGGTTGCTTACATTTTCTGATACTGACAGGTTATACTAATAGCTACTAAGCCCATTTCTTTATCAGATGTTTAGTAAGGATGACTTTTCCGAATCATGCTCCAAAAACTGGCCTGCGTTATACAGGGTAACCAAAATATTATGTCAAAATTGCCAATTGAAAAATTGAAAAATCTCGATTTTTTTAAATGCAGATTTAAATTCTCTACAATTTTGCTATACCTGCTCCTATACCAAAATTCATTAGATTTTCATGAAATCTCATTTCTATGAAAAAATGCGAAGTTTATAAATAGCTTATATATAAAATAACGTAGTAGGCTCCTGTCAAATGATAATCTGGAAAATTTTCGATTCACATAAAGTTTAATAGAAAAGCGACAGTAATAATAATTATTACTCACAATTATTGTGAAATGAATTACTCTAAAGAAGAATTAGTAAATAAATAATAGAATAATTAGTAAAACTCATGGTAACTTTTTATTAGCAAGTCGTATTTACCAAACTAATAATCCAGATTTACAAAGATATCCTCGTACAAAGTGTTTTGTAAAACTGAAAGAGAGGTTTGAAAGAACAACAAATACAAATTATGAGAAGACAACAAGAACACACGCATGCAGTCTCCAAAACAGTAAATTAACATCGTGCATTTCTAACAAAAGTAATAAAGACCTAGTTAAATTAGTAATTAACAGGTAACCGCTCAAAATGTCTGCCATTTTTCTATAGACATTGAGCAATTCTACGACGAAAATTGCTTGACACATTTCGCAGCATTTCCGGAGTTAGGGTCAAAAAAGCATTTCTTATCTTTGCCCGTAAATCTTCTACATCTGTCGGAGGAGTTTCATACACCCTGTCTTTTATATAGCCCCATAAAAAAAATCAAGACAAGACAGGTCTGGGGATCGGGGAGGCCATGGAATTGGCTACCTATCCACTTATCTGGATACAAATCATTTAAGTATTCTCTAACCTGAAACAGTTTTTCTATGAATTTACATAACTTACATAATGAGAAAACTTACCGCCAGTGTGGAATGTGCAGGGGCACCATCATGTTGGAACCACTGACTGTTTAAGTCATCCGGAGGAATATGTCCCTGCAATTGGAGCAAGTCGTTTTGTAAAAATTGCAAATACCCATTACCAGTTAAGTTTCCTTCAAGAAAATGTGGTCCAATGACATATTCTCCGCATATTCCCGCCCAAACGTTGACTTTAAAGCGGTGTTGATGATCGTCTTGTCTTATTAATCTGGGATTATGATCGGCGTAATGGTGATAATTATGTCGACTCTCTCGACCAGTATTGGCAAAGGATGACTCGTCAGTAAATAACACCTTTGAAAAAAAAATTCATCTTGTTGTAGCTTTATAGTTGCCCACTCACAAAACTGTACTCGCTTCTGAAAATCTTGCTGTGTTAAGAATTGGTGATGCTCAGAATGATAGGGGTGGAAGTTGTTTTTCTTTAACGTTCTATTAACCACACTTTTGGAAATACTAATTTCATCACTAATTTCTCTGACACTTGTAGATGGATTTTGGACTGCACATTCCAAAATGTCAATTTGACTATCCTGATTACCACATGCGTGTGTTCTTGTTGTCTTCTCATAATTTGCATTTGCCGTTCTTTCAAACCTCTCCTTCAGTTTTACAAAACACTTTGTACGAGGATATCTTTGTAAATCTGGATTATTAGCTTGGTAAATACGACTTGCCAATAAACAGTTACCATGGGCTTCTCTTCTTCTATTAAACCTTTCTTTCTATTAAACCTTATGTGAATCGAAAATTTTCCAGATTATCATTTGACAGGAGCCTACTACGTTATTTTACATATAAGCTATTTGTAAACTTCGCATTTTTTCATAGAAATGAGATTTCATGAAAAACTAATGAATTTTGGTATAGGAGCAGGTATAGCAAAGTTGTAAAGAATTTAATTCTACATCTCATGGTATGAAAATATACAGGGCGTTGCATTTAAAAATATCGAGATTTTTCAATTTTTCAATTGGCAATTTTGACATGATATTTTGGTTACCCTGTATAACGCAGGCCAGTTTTTGACGCATGATTCGGAAGATTCATCCTCACCAAACATCTGATAAAAAAATGGGCTTAGTGGCTATTAGTATAACCTGTCAGTATCAGAAAATATAAGCAACCAATGTCGACTAGAAAAACCTCTCAAGCGAGATATCTCAAAAACTGTGAATATTTGAATAGAACTATTCTATACAAAGTACCCTTTATTTTTTATGTAGAATCCGAAAAAAATATAAAAAATGTGTGTTTCCATTTAAAAAATCAAAGTTGGTGTCTGTCCAGGAATAGTGGAACACCCTGTATAGTTGAATATATTTTTAATTTGTACATTCCGAGAAATGTGGCAACACAATAAAAAGAAAAATCCATATATTCCTCATTTTAACATAGATATTGGACTTTCCCGCACTAGTGGGACACGCTGTATAGCGTCGTTGTAGTTACTGGGAAAGAAGTGGCTTGAATATAAAAAGAATATTATTGACATTAAAAATTATTTAAATTAAAGAATACCTTGAAACATATTTTTTACATTTATAATAATATAGACTAAAATTTGAATAATAATTAATGTCAAATCTTAAATTGCTTTTTCCACCAACACAGTTTCATCAGCTTAACAATTTATTGAAAATACTAATGCTGGAGGTTCATAACCTTAACCTTTACGTTTCTAAAAAAAGCTAAATCCGTTAACCTAATTAATAGTGTATTGGACACCTGCAAAGTGTCCAATACAGTATATAAATAATTTACTTACACAACAAACCTAACTATGGAAAAACACAGCAGCTTTGGAAAGATTTACAAGGTTTTTGCTCCTGCGTCACCTAAAAATAAACTGAATGTTTGTACACAATTTCTTTGCAAAGGTTAGTATCTTTCAAAACAAGATGTTTTTCCCAGTGTCCCCGTCGAAGTCCCCAGGCCCTATGCAGTCTATCAGACCAAGCAAGTCAAAGTTGATGTTGAGAAACCAGTACTAGTCAAGGTACCAGTCCATGTGAAAGTACCAGTCCCACAGCCCTACAAAGTAGACGTACCCACACCTGTCGCAGTCAGAGTACCACACCCCGTCGTTGTCAAAGTACCACAAGTATACCACACCAGCAGCAAGCAACACTACAACAACCCAGGAATTGTTTATGGAGGTGAATTTAATCAAGGTACTAAAAATTTGAATTACTATTTTACAAAAACAATATGGTCACCACCATTTTGGATATAATGAAGGGACTTTTCTATTAATTTAAACACGCAAACTATTATTATTGCCGTAGGAGACGCAAATGAAGTTGCGCTTTTTGCACAACAAATATGCCAATGTGTCTTCCAAAGTTCTACACGAAGTAAAAATATTTTGTTCATTTCTGCCAATATGACCTCCACAGGTCTACATACAGGGTGTCCCTGAAAAAGATGGACAACTTGACCACAGGTTCCTTGGATGAAAATAAGACTATTTAACCTAACTTACCTATATACAAAAGTGCACGCCTACTGAGATATAGCCTTCTAAATATAGAATAGATACCTATTTTTTTCAAATACTTTGAAAACTATTTTTCTTAGAAACTTCAAATTTGGTACACTTATTTTTTTATATAAGGGCAAGGTAAATATAGAATTTGGAGAGAATACATATACAGGATGTTCTATTTCTAGTGCCTGTGCGCCACTGGCTATCCCGTAACTTTTTTGTGTGTATGCCAATGACGACAGAATTTACATTTTTAAAAATAAGTACTATTTGGAAGAATTTTTTCCTCTTACAAAATTTTGATATCGTTTATGGATTTCGAGTAAAATTAGCATTTTTTATACATTAAATAAAGGCAAAAATTCCGATTTGTAAAAAATAATTTATAACTGCAGCCTCAAAGCAGGGAATAATAATGAAAAAACGTCACATTAAAAAAATAACTACAAATTTTTTGTATTAGTATTATCAATCAATAAAATAAAAGTCAACATTAACATTTTAAATAAACCTAAATTGATATTTGTAATCACATTAAATAATATTACAGTAAATGCTCACTTACTTCCTTGTTCTTAAACGCAAACATTAGTTCTTCGAAAATTAGAAATTATCCAATAATTGTACATTACCTCTCATAACATTAATTTCATGTATTCTTTCCCATATTCGTTTTCTGTATTTACTGAAAAGTTATTATAAACTGTGGTCCTCAACGCTCCCCAAATGAAATAATTACATGGGTTTAGGTCCGGGGATCGAGGTGGCTATTTTCAAGGGGCATTATTTCCTCTACCTATCCACCTGTTAGACCTGTAATAACCTGTAATACCTACCTGTACCCTGTAATACCTGTAACCTGTAATAACTGGTCTTTTAATACTCTATTAAAGGAACTTTTTGAAAGCNAAGGGGCATTATTTCCTCTACCTATCCACCTGTTAGACCTGTAATAACCTGTAATACCTACCTGTACCCTGTAAAACCTGTAACCTGTAATAACTGGTCTTTTAATACTCCATTAAAGGAACTTTTTGAAAGCCAACCCCTGCCGCTAATCGCCTTTTATTTACTTGAGGAATTTCTTCGACCCTTTCCAAAATTTGTTCCTCCAGCTGAATCATTCCGGCCGTACATTATCCACGATTTAATGTTACAGGTAAAAAACGTCCTGTTTCCCGAAGGCGCCTCTCCGCATTAGCAAATGTTTTGTGATTTGGAGTTCTTCAATTAGGAAATCTTTCAGCATATTATGTAGCACAACAATTTCCTTCACAATAACCCAAAACTACTACTATCAGTTTGTTCAGCAAAAGTATAAATTGCAATAAAAAACAAAGTAAGCTAAAATTAAATCACAGCTAGCTTGACACTGAACATTTTAATTATTGTTATAAATTTGTTTCTCTGTTATATGGTACCTCGTACTAGACTGTTCTATTTATCTTAAACTGATTTTATATTATTTAATGTGTAAAAAATGCCAATTTNTAAATAATAGGACTATTATCATTACCTCAGGATGGCGCAAACGAAGTTAAATCTTTTTAAAAAACAAAATATTCTGTCCCATCCTGCCAATAACAATTCCATAGTTCTACAGTTGTTTTTTAGGCCACATTCCAAAATAAAAAATTTTGAAATCGGCCAAAAAATAAAAAAATTACAGGCTTGTATCATATTTAAGCGCGACACCCTGTATATAGTACCCCCTAACATCCTTAAATCTAACCCTTTCTACCTAACATCCCTAAAATAGGGTAAATTGACACAAGAGTAATCCTATTATTTTAGCCCAAAGATTCCGTGATTGACCTTCTCTTTTACAACATCTCGTATAAACAGCGAAATGTTAAATTAAAAAAAAATCTTCACAAAATACCGCAAATGAATAAATTAATTAAAAATAAAACAAATATATCGCAAACCCACTGAAGACTGGGTTATTTTTTAATGAGACTGACACCCACTGTAAATCGAAATTTATGAAGGTTTGGAGTCAATAAAACGTCATATTTATGGAGACGATTAATAGAAAACGAAATTATATTTTACAGTTAATGTGTGGAATGTGGAATACTAATTATGAATAAATGTAAATGATTATTATTTGAAGGCGGTATTTCCTGATATGTTCGTGGTTACGCAACTTTGAATCATATAATTCAGCTTTAGGTCGGAAAAGTGAAATCCTCTTTGATAAACCTTATAATTCACGACAGCGGAAGAGAAAATATTATATTTTATTAACAGAAGAAATGCCATCCGTTTTATTCAAATTTTCAAGAAATAAATATTGACTAAACACAGAAACGTTCCCTTCAGTCCATTTCAGTTATATCCATTTTGTTATTGAATTTATGATGCTTTCAGAATATTTGTACAATTATATTTCGAGTTTATAGTTGTCTAGGTTATTATAATGGTAAATGCAAAAGTTTCTAAGTATTTTTCTTAAAGCTTTCACGATACTCTCATAAACAAAACAAACGAACGTTTAAAATGCCGGATTTCAGCAACAAATCTATATCTGATAATATGGGAGACATGAATTTATTCCTCAAATTCGACCTCTACAAATCAAATTCACCCGTTTGTAAATCACATTCGCCTTATTGTTTATTTACAAAAAAATATACTGGAAACTAATCATCACTCACAATTACGACTAATTCAACTATCACCTTCCTTACGATAAAAATAACAGTAAAGTAAACAAACAGACAGACATGGAACCCCTTTTATCAAATAACAATAATTCACTATATTAAACTGTCACAAAGGCAAATTAAAGAATAATGTGTTACAATCTTCATAAGGGAAAGAAGTGTTGAGCCAATCATATTGGGACAAATGGATAAACCTATGCTGTTGGGACTAACAAATTGAATTTAAAGTGCAAAATTTGATTTGAGAAGTTGTATTTGACTTGTAAAGGAACGATGTTAAATTTTCAGTACAAAACCCTTACTATACTATTAGAGGTTGACCCATGAAACCTTGTGTAACTGTAAACCTGTAAGCGTTGTAACAAATATGTGAACACGTATAAGGTGTTGGATTTAAAATATCATACGTAAGTTTTTGCAACAGTCTCCAATTATTACCTTCAAAATATCATTTAAAAGTACAGAAAATAATTTTTGTTCATAGTAGATAAAATAGTCAAAAAAAAAACTGCCCCTACACATTTGGTACTTATAGTTTCATTTTTTCCAAAGTCATTATTTTTCCAATGTCTTCCTCCAGGAATCTACGGCCTCGGCAGCAACTACTACGGCCTTGGCGGAGTAAGTAGCATCAGCAGTGACGCCGTGAGCAGCGGCTTCGATGGGGCCGTTGGAGGAGTGAGTAGCGTCGTCAGCCCTGGCTCTGGTGTAGTCGGAAGTCTCGGAGGAATCGGCAGCACCCTCAGTCCCATCAACGGCATTTACGGAGGACTCGGGTCAGTCAGCAGCACGCTCAGCCCCATTAGCTCCTTCGACGGCAGCTTTGGAGCAGTAAGTGGTGCCCTGCCCGTTGGCGGCATCATCAGCAGCACCATCAGCCCAATCATAGGTGGAATCAGCAGCGGATCCGGTTTTGGTGATTTCAGTTCCCTAGGAGGATCCTTTGGAATAGGCTCTGGAGACGCTTTCCAAAGTGGTGTCTCCGCCACCACCCCCGCTACTGACGCTGTGCACGCTGAGGGCGATTCCATTTCTGTAGAAGGAAGGAGCGGTGAAGCAGTCACTGAAAGTTCTTACGATGGAGGCATTTCATCGTCCTTCTCGGCTGTTACCCCTGCATCAAGCTCTGATGAGGACAAAACCCTTCCAGATGTGGAAATCACTTCTCCAAGTGGTTTGTAAGGATGGGGCGGGGTAGCCTTTAAGTATTATGTAAATATTTCGCTCAACAATTCTTGTTTATGTTTGTTAAAATGTATTGAACGCAAGGATAGAAAATAAAACATTCGTTTTTTTATTGTAACTATCAAAGATTCAATGTCATGTAGAGGACTTACTCCAAAACTTTCTACGAACAGAAAAGTAATTATTTACAGTAGAAAACTGTTTGGAAATTATTAAAATAGTAGTAATATAAGAAACGGCCTATGATTTTAAAGATTTTGTAATTCGAAGTCAAGTTTCTGGCACTATTATAATATACATTTTCAAGCATTCCGAAATATATATATTTTACATTTAACTATTTAACTTCCTGGAGAACATTAAGAGGCATACAAAATCGAGTTTGTATACCATTAAAGAGAAAATTAGCTTTAAAGAACTAGTTACTTCTAATTACACAATTACATAATGAGAAAAGGCAATTAAAAACTCACGAACAGGCGTGTAACTCCTTAATTAGGGCAGATGTTGAGAAACAAAGCACCTCTTACCTGTAACAAAAGGAAAAATTAGTTTTCAGAGCTAATTATACAGAGTGTAGCGTTGAATAAGGGTTAGGTACATTCAAACGAGGTTACCTTTGATTTGTAGAAATGCATACCACAAGTATGTTTTCTCAAATTCAATTGTCAACTATTTTTTTTGTAATATTCATACCCCGTCACTGGACAGGCTAGTATAACCTCAAATAACCTCACGCTCTAGCCGCCAATGCACACTCTATTGGGAGCTACGACATGCATTGTTGTCAAATATCATCTTTCTTAATATTTCGCATTGTATTAGCTATGTCCTGTCCAAATTTGATTAACGCAACTCTCTCGGTTTCGAAAATACAATACCTATGTATGTATTCAGCCACGAAAATTGAATAATTCCAAATATTTCGAATTTTCCCCACCAAGAACGGCGGTGAGAACAAGTTTAACATTGTATTAGCAATGTCCTATTCAAATTTGGAAAGTTCGAGAATACAATACCTATGTATGTTTTCAGCCACGAAAATTGAAACTGAAAACTAAAATAAATGTAATAAAATGGAAAAGTTACATATTTGACCATTCTTGTTTCGCCGATTGAATATCATTTTACTTCATTAGATTTATTTTTTGTTAACTCTCAAAAAATGTAAAGACGTACTTAGGAAAGACATAATTCTCTTTATTGAAACTGGATGATATATACGATAGATGATGGTGGAATTACAAGACATGTTCGATATGCCCCCCATTTTCCTGGATGCATAGCTGGATCCTTCGATTGAAATTGAATTGAACCATCCTCAACATTTTTGGATCGAGAGGGACATCTTCCATTAGAACCGGAAAAGTATTCGTCAAAAAATTGAAATAATTTTCGCTATTCAAGCGGCGCGGCATGACATAAGGACCCAGAAGGATGTCACCGATGATCCCGGCCCAAACATTTATTGGAAATTCTACCTGAAAGTGGTTAATACGCCAGGCATGAGGGATTTCTTCTGCGTAATGGTGAATAAAATTCGGCTGGTGAAATTTGGATCGCGTGCCGACGCTCCTTAAATAAAGGGGCGAAATTGGCGAAGTCTTCTCTCAAAATGGTATAGTAAAAGCTCCTGAATAGACGTCGCATGATAAGGATGGAGAAGCTGCTTGAGGCCGACCCACACAGTCAACGGCTCGAACACAAAATTGCCCAGTCTCCCGCAAACTCTCCAATCCGTGTAAATCGGTAATTTGGAACCCGTCGATTTGGATATCGCGCCGCGTAGACGCGTACACTCCCACCCAAGTTGTCTTCGCAAAACCCTACGATACAATTACTACAATAGTAGTAATTGTAGTGAGTAGTTGTTGTACTTGAGTAGTAGTGATAATGCTGAAAAAAAAAATTGCGTAAAAACTATGAATGCTACAAGATTTTACCAAGACCACGAAAATCTCGAATCAATAAAAATAAAATGAATTAATTCCAGCGACCAAATAAAAAGTTCTGGTAATTCTTGTACCAAGACACTCAAGAATTTACCACTAGCCCAAGGCTGATGGACGCGGTTGCTTCATCAAAACATGAGTTTTACTTAGGAACAAGTCCACAGCAAGTTTCATTAAAATCCAGATATTACAAAAAACATATTTTTTTTTCAAGAACTTTGACAGTCAATAGCAGAGGAACCTGACATTTTTTCTTAATGAAAATTAGGTCAAATCGTCTTCTTTTGAACCAAAGAATGTCGCAGTACCTTTTTGATCATGTGCTTATGAGACACCCTGTATATATATTTATTAAACAGAAAAATAATTATTTAAAACATAAATTAGTCCACACACCAATATCAGTAAATATGTATTTAGTAAATCATACAAATATACATTTTTTTAAAAACCCATAAATTTTTCATAATTGTAAAATAATAATATAGGTACTTATCGCAAAGTCATACAATAATATAATTACAGTCCGATTAGTAAAGCTATAGTGTGTGTGCGGGGACGGTAAATTACTATTCATTAAAAATATAGATATACCCTAGTATGTGTTAGAAGGGGCAGTAAATTAATATTTGCTGACTGGAAATCGCGTTCAATATTCAACAAGTTTCACTTTTGCGTAAAAAATCGATGAGTGGGAACGAATTAACGGGTTCTCGGGGAAATTTCGCGGGTTTTAAAGCACCCACTTGAACTGCCTACTATTATAAACACTGAGGAGAAAATGAAGTGGAGGGGGAGAATTAATCTTTAGGTTTACGGTCGGGAAATTGCCGGATCGCACTGTGACACTGATTGATAATTCCTAGCCGAAAAATTCAAATAAATCGACGCTCTACGTCTGGACTTGCGAATGGTTTTTGCCCAGGCGGTGATTAAGTCAGACGTTCTTTTGTGAAATTCATGGGAATTGGAAATATTTGAGTGTTTACTGGATGTCCCAATATCAAATGTACATGAAACTGCCACAGATTCTTGAGGCTAACAAAAATTGCTTCATTTAGCCACTATAGGGCGTCAAAGTTGACAAATATGTTTACCTTTTCCAAACCCTAAAGCATAAGTTACATGCGCAGGCCTTAGAAAGAGAGATCACCTGCCCCAATATGTGTAAGAGCGATGGAGCTAGTGAGGACAAAACCGGTATAACAAAACAAACACGACGAATTTAAGTAAAAGGCTTAAAAAAGGTTTTTGTGTATTTAATAGATTTTTTTAAACTATGGTACAGACATCTGCAGCTATCAATTGCATACAAAAATGAGTAAGTTTCATAGACAGGAAAAGTTAAGAATGTTTATCCTTTATACATCTTTATGAAGATAATGGTGATCAATATAGTTTCAGTTTGTGATGTTTTACAAAGCAAGAAAACGAAAACTACTTGATATATCAGTCCCATAAGAGTTGCAGCGATTTTAACTGATTGAGTTTATGATATAAGGAAAGAAAATAGAGAAATTTACAAAGAGGATAGACATAAAATTTATGTGGAACATTACAGCTAAAGCAATTCAAGAATTGCACTGTAATAACTAGTGTAATCAAATATTATATACCTATTACTGTTAAAAAAATTAGACAAAACATGTTTCCCATTTTACATTAATTTACAAAATTAATTCACTTCGAACATCAATCATTACGAATATTTTTTGTATACAACTGTGATCTTTGCCAGAGCCAGAACGATAAAAAATTTAAATATTCAATAACAGATTGGGTCAAGGATCAGAAAAATGTATGTTCTCATAAATATATTTTTGTTTAACAAGAAATATCACATTGAGAAAGTTCATTGTGTTCAATCACACTAGTTTTCATTTAAAAACACAAGTAAATAAAAAGTACCAAATTAAATTATGTCGAACTGATAATTACAGGACAAAATTGAATAGGTTAATAAACATAGGTACAAAAATTTTAATTCTGTTTAAATATAAAATAATATTTTAATTTAATTTTCCCCTGAGTTGCTCCTTTCTGTACCTCCATTTGTACAGAAATTCCAAATTAACAAATAAAGCTTATGCTTTTATTCTCTTGCTCATTAATAATAATTAATAATTAAATTAATTAAAATTTCTCGCAAATGTTTATTATTAAATTAAGAGAAATCCAATTCAATTAACTCGTTCAGTAATTTTTAATTTATAACTTGTTTTCATATTTTCCAAAAGCAAATAACACCCTAAATATGTGGTGAAAAAATCGGGTCGATAGCGAAGCGATTTAATTGTAGTAAGTTTTTTCCCTTATTTGTGGCATAGTTTAAGTTTTCTCCCTGATGTTTTTTGACCTGTGAAGATTTTACTTCATCCATTTAAGAAATGTTTGTGCCAAACGGACCAGACCGGAAAAAAATTACATATATCAAAAAGCTCGGTTGCACAACGCGTTCTTAATCACGTGACAAAAATTAAATTGTTTTCATAATTTTAAACATCTACAATTAACTTGTAGACCAGGACGGATCTGTCGAAATATCCCACTTACTGGATGTAAGAGGGGGCAAGCTAATTTTTACTGGACTATCTTCAGTACATCTCACATAATAAAAGTCTAGATCCCTAGATCTGGGTGAGATCCGAAACATTTTCAAGATTGCAAAAATGTTTAAAAAATTTAAAAAATACCTATTTTATGCGAGTTTTTTACTTACATCTTGGAACCTATGCATTTTGGAAGAATATTGAAGAGGAAAAAAGTTTTAGAATTGAATTTTGCACAATATACTGTAAGTTAAAAATGTTTAAATTTATTACCATGTTGCAAAATAGCAATAATTGACATTATCTGTTATCAGCTATTGCTTTGTACTTCTGTGCTTCTGCATATTGTCCTTATATTTTAATTTCTATTAGTACTTATGTCTTTACACTTAATGCTAGATAGCGTTTATATTCATTGGGACTTTATCTCGTTGGATATTGTATTTCTTTATAAATTATTTCAAATACAAGTCCCCTGAGAACTAAATTTTAATGGGCTGTAACTCAGGTCGAGCAGCCAGTCATTCTCTTAAATCTATGAATGTACTTTACACGGGACATGACACGTATACAGCGTGTTTGAACACCGCTGGGAACAGCGGGTTACATCCCAGTCG